AGGTGATATTGAAGGTGGAGGAGGCGATGGTGGTGGTGGTGGTGGCGACAGTAATGGAGGTGGATTGGAGGGCAAAGGCGGAGGCGGAGGTCGTGGCCTGAATGTGGGTGAGGAACCAGAACTAGGTGGTGGCGGCGGACGGACAGGCGGCATCGGAGGTCTTATCACCGGCGGCCTTCTGATTGGACTAGGCGTGAAAGACCCTCCCCCACCACACTGAGATCTGCTGCAGTCAAATGGTCTACCTGCTTCCGAAGAACACTCCTCACGCGACCTCTGATGTGTCTGATTCGCGATGCAATTCTCCTGCCCGTCAAACCCACGCGCCAGGCACGATGGATCCACGCCCGTGAAGTAATTGTACGAGTAGGTGAAGTTCTCCAGCCGCGGCAGCTGGCAAATGTCGCCCGGCACCACCCCCGTCAGCTGGTTGTGCGCCACGTTCAGCTGCTCCAGCTTTCGCATCCGCCGGATTTCCCCCGGCAGCGACCCCCGGAGTTTGTTGAAGCTCACGTCAAACACCGTCAACTCCGTCAGGTTCCCGATCTGCGGCGTTAGGCAGTCGGTGAGATTGTCGTTCATCAGAATCAGCTCGTTCAAGGTTCCACCCATCTTCCCAATGCTAGCCGGAATACATCCGCCGAAGTTATTGTTCGCCAGGACCAAAACCGAAACCGGCGAGTTGCCGAGATTGGCCGGCAGGCTGAACCGGAACCGGTTATGATTGAGGAAAAGCGCATCCAGATCCTTGTTAAAGACCTCCGGCGGCACGGGGCCCTCGAACTCGTTGAACCGGAGGTCCAGGAACTTCAGGGACGTCATGTTCAGCACCACCGACGGAAAACCGCCGACGAATCGGTTGTTACTCAGATCGAGCTCGAAGAGAAGCCGGAGCTTACCTAAGGTTCTCGGGACAACGCCGCAGAATCTGTTGGAATTGAGGTGGAACAAGGCCAGATCCGTGAGCAGACCGATCTCTGGCGGCAGGGAGCCGGCGATGTCCGCGTGGTTGAGGTCGATGCCGGCGACCACTGTTAGCGATTCATTCGCCGGCGAGGGAGCGCAGAAGATCCCTCTGTACGAGCACACGTTAGGCCCCCTCCAGTTCCTTGTGGTGTTAAGCGGATCTGAGTGGATGTTCTTCTTCAAGGCCTGCAGGGCAATGTATGCCCGCCGGAGATTTAGGTTCTGGAAGATGTAATTCTTCGGTACCCGAACCCGCGCGGCGGCGCTAGGGATCTGAGAGGTGAGGAGAGAAAGAAGGAGAGCCAGGAAGAAAAATGCAGGTGCAGCGGCGCGCCGCCGCCGCATTGGGCGTGAGACGGCGGTGGAAGTCATGGGATTTGGAGTGGGGAGAGAAAATGGTGGTTTGAAAACATTAAAAATGGGCAGCAGAGAGAGTGAAGTGGATACAGCTGTCAAAAATAATGTTATATTCTCTCTCTTACTACCAAATGAAATGAAAATGAAAGTAGGGAATACACTCTCCCAGTTGGCTGAATTTATTCAACCAGCTTAATTTGACGTTCTTATAATGACACGCAATTGTGCTTTTAAAAAAAATAAACACGGTATACGCGTAATTTGATTATTTTGTGCCGTGTAAGGCAAGGGGTAACACGGAAAAGATTGAAGAAATTGGTTTCAATTTCTCATATGATGATTACTTAACTTGACAATATGTAAAATAATATTTACTGTTTGATTTATGTGAAATACAATTCTATTAATCCACTTATGAAGGAAACAAAATTAGTAAATTTAATTTGCTTTCACTTTTGTGTGAAATACGATTCTATTAATCTACTGTATAAAGGAAATATTTGAGTAAATTTAATTCGCTTTGACTAGGGTTAGTGATCATGGCAATGAACGCCAAATGGCTGCCGAGTAGAGGTGCTATCAGAGTCGAGCTCGAACACGAAGCTCGTTGTAAACGAGTTAGTTCGGTTGTTTGAATTGGTGAAAGTCGAGTCGACTCATTTAACAAACTTAAAATTTGTAAACGGATTGTTCATAAATATAATTTATAAGTTGGTTGATATGCTGACAAAAAAACCTATAGAAAAAATGTATAATAATAATAGTTTTAGATTATTCGCAAATGAGTTTGTCCAAACTCATGTTGAAGGGTTTATTCGTTTAGAAATTTATGAGACATTTTTTTTTATGAGATTTGAGTCTTCAAAATTTGAGATTTAAGAGGAATCCTTCCAAATATTAAATTAGTCAATAGAATTTGGATTGAGATTTCGTATAAATTTTTTTTGTTATAAATTACAATAAATCTTAAAAAGTCTTATTAAATTTCAGTGTAACTTCTGATTTATTAAAATTTTTTAAAATATCAAATGAATAACTCATGAATTTTAAAAGTCTTAAAAATTACAATAAATCTTTAATAATATTAATGAATACACCCTCTTTAAACAAATAAACTCAATTACATCTTTGCACTTGACCATTCATTTAAACAAATCGTGCTCAAGGTTTTACAAATTAAATTGTCTCGCGAACAATTAAATTTGAGTAACTTTAATTAGGAGTAAAGGTGGGGCATTGTATTTTATTAGTTTCTAATTTTTTTTATTTTATTTTCTATTATTAAAATTTTTCGAAATTGAAATAAAGAAGAAAAATGGTTTGCGATGCGCCAGTTGTATATCGCCAATTGCTTCGAAGGTGGCAGAACAAACCGAACCGAGGCATCGGTCCATGACCTTGAAAATTCGATACCTAACATGGCACATTTTAAAATAAGAATTCCAACTTATACTGATTCATTTTTCTGTTTAATTAAAAAAATTTAGGATTTTTTTTTTGTCGTCTTTAGCGGTATAACACTACATGTGACTGAGGCTCTTTAAAATTTTGTTGTGTTGGTGGGCTCCATTTAACTTTTATATTATATAAAAAAAAAAATGATTTTCAAAGGAAAAGGAAACTTAGAAAAGGCATCCATGTTTGGATGGGATAAGAGTTATTAATAAAAAAGGTGGAAAATTTTGAAAATGATAGAGGTAAGAAACGCGTGGCTCCAAAACAGCACTGTAAGCAAGTGTTGGACAACAGCTATTAATTGCTAACATTCGTGAAGCTCACCCTTCTCATCTAATTTTAGGTCAACATTAATTCCAGCATTCAATTTTCGCTTTTGTTGTCTAGACACTCGTGATAATAAAAACACCGGCTTTTACTTATCAAGTGGAACTCTCGAGAATTTGTTTGATATATAAAATTGCAAATTTTGTTTCATATAATTAATCGAGTCGAAATTTGGGATATAAAAAAGGTGTATGGATNGCTGTTGTAACTCGTAAGTACGGTACCATACCGTTAAAAAAACTTACCGTTAAAAAAACTTGCCGTAAAAAGTAAGGTTGCAACAAAATAATTTTATGAGATCAGATTTGCAATTGAATCATTTTTAAGGGACCAAATTCACAACAAACTAATTTTATGAGAATAATTTATTGATATTCAGTTTTTTATTTAAATTTTTATTTTACACACAATGAAATTTGATAATTCAACGTTTAGGTGTAATATTTTAAAATTTACAAAGTTTCATAATTACTCATTATCTGTTCGATAAGTTATAAATTAATGCATTTCTTTTATATATGTAAATATATATATACTAGTACAATACCCGTGTATTACACGGGTATTGAATTAGAAAGCTTTTGTAAAAAATATTAATTTTTTTTAAGAACTAAAATAATTTAATTTTATATAAAACATTACTTTGGATTTTAATTAAATTATCAAATTATATTTTTTTAATCATAATAATGAAACACCTGTACATTAAATGGAAATGTTAACCCGTGTTGATTTTTTTTTACTTATATCATATAAAAATATTGATACTATTTACTATTACATAAGTACAAAAATATACATCTTAAATAACTAGAAATAATATGGTGATATGTATATGCATAAGTGTAGAATATGTTTATTTAATATTAAGCAAACTAGATTAATTTTTTTACTTAATTAGATGCCTAATACATCAAGTGTCGTATCAGTCGTGCTTCACTGTTTTTTAACTTTATATGTAATTTTAAAATTTATATAAATAATTATTTATTTTTATTACATTGACAACATACCAATTAGGTTTGAAATAAATATCATTTTTAAAAGAATACATACTAATTTCTATTACTTTATAATATAATTTATAATTTTATTTGATATAATTTAATTTAGTTTGATAAATAAATTTAAATTTTATTTATAAGGATATATATTACTGTATTGTATTATATATATATATATATATAGTAAAATATAAACGGACTTCATAATATCAGTTCAAGTGCAACACACTAATTAAGTTTTTTTTTTTCTTGACAATATTAACCCTATTTAATGGATGTCATGGGAAACGATGGAGATGTGATATGAAGAGACACTGTGAATTAGATGGAGGGTTAAAAATAGAAAAATATGAACAAAATATCTAAAACGACATTTATTTTATCAATAATGAATTAAGCCAAAGTGACAAATAATAAAAATAGGAGGGAGTATATATTATTATATATTTTAATATGACATATGTTACTTGTACGACTTATATGTGTTATATTATAATGATTTTTCTACCTTATAATATATAACTACATTAAACATAATTATTTTAATTGATAAATAATTTTATTTTTGAATTAATTTTAATAAATAATTTTATTATTATTATAAAGATAACTATAATTATTTATTTTATATATACATTATGGATGTTAAATCGAAGCTCATCAAAACATGATTAATTTTTTATATTATATATGTAAAACCGATAAGAAATACAAAAGTTATCAACTTTTAAAATATATTTGCAATTCAATGGTTATAATAGAAAATGATATTATAATACAATTAATACAAATAATAATTTATATCCAAGCCTAACTCCAGAGCATGATTTTTAGCCAAATAGGATTCAAAAGCATGAGAGTTTGGCACATAAGCTCACCGCATTCTGAAATTATATATAGAGAGGATGAATAACTTTTTTTGCTTTTTTGTTTTGTAGTCTTCTAGTGTCACTATTACTCAACAAACGACCCGCTATTTACTATTAAATATAATAGTTATTTGATGATCGAAATATTAATTTACACTTCAAAGTTTTTATTCTCTCTCCTGAGCAAAAGCCGGAAAAAAAAAAGAACTCTTGAGCAGAAGCCATCGTCGTCGCTTCCTCTTCACAGGGCCCTCCATGCGGCCCGGTTTCTGCCACCACTGAGCGTGAAGCTCGCCCCTCTTAGAGCCAAAGAATTCCCCAGAGGCGGAGCCACTAAGGGACAAGTGTGGGCCTAGGTCCACACTGAATTTTTCAAATAGTAAGGATTATATATAAATTAACCCATGGATTATTTAGTTTGCATTGTGTAGGTGCATTTAGAAAGATATAATTGTACCTCTCTTGAAAATTATAAAATGACTTATTGCATTTTGTTTATCCAGCATTAATTATTTTTTTATTTATTTTTATTTTTAGGAATCAACACTATTTATCCTATTTTGCTTATATTTGAACTTGATATATAATTATTAGTTACTGAATATGACTTAAGGAAGAAGACTAAAAATATACAAGTTTCCATGAAAATAGCTTTAAATTTTATTTATGATTAATAGTTAATCTACCTTTTTAAAAACGAAAATAAAGGAGAAACATCGGTTAGATATATGGCTTTTTTATTTTCTTCTCATTCTCAAGATTTATCATGTTGGAACTAAGAAAACAATTGAAAGAAAATTATAGTGATACAATTTATTTCATCCCACCTTTTTACCTACAATTAACACAATTAAAACATAATAAATTCATATTACTTTATACTTTCTAATAATAATATTATTAATTCCTAACATATTTTTATTTGTTGATCATTATATTTTTTATCTTGTATCCATTCACAATTTCAAATTTATCTCACTTTCTTATCTCTATTTTCATATGAGACTGGATTTTGAAAAAAAATAAAAATTATATACAATCAAAACCTAAAATGAAAAAAAATTATATACAATCACAACCTATAATTTTATTTTATAACTCGAGTGGTTAGTTACAAAACAACTTAGGCCCACACTCATGTAAATTTCTAGATCCGCCCCTGAATCCCCCAAGTGTAGGGCTCGCCAATTTAAAAGGAGTCTATGTTGCTGTGCGGGGCTATTCGGGTTCCAGGTAAGGCTAGCTCATTGGACTCCAACCCGCCTCCCCCCGGAGGTCGGGGTCGAGGTAAGACTCTCCCTATATAACACCTATTTAATAAAGCATATCATTCTTGCATTTCATCTCATAGCTCGACTAA